CATGAATATTGATTTTTGGGGTCACAAATAAACTGTAATGAGGAAGCAAATTCACAAACACAAAATCTACAAATAATGAGAGTGGACTGTTTATCTAAATCCTCTAGACAGAGCACTACTTGCAATGCAAGATTCACACAGTATTATGAGGTATCAACAAAGAATCCACACCACTACTTATTGGCTGCTTCTGGAAATATAACAAAGGATATGTGATCAAAGAAATTGAAAGCTCTAATAGATATTCATCACTAAATGTTTCAAAAAAAATCAGAAGTTTAGATAGCTCACACATTAAATAAAGTTATACTTAAAGTAACCACTAGAAAGAAAAGAGAAGAGAAAGGCATCACTTTTCCCTTTGTAAATGAGAACAGGATTCTTCTTGCAGTGTCTTTCATTATAGTGACAGTTCTGAATCTCAGGATGCAAAAGAAGAGAGTTCTAGTCAGCGCCATACCAGGATGAAGAAGTATTATGATAATTTTGCTCTTCAAAAAATTCAGAAATAAGGTTACTGTGATGGAAGAGAATCACTCTAGAACTTTACTCAAGTCCTAAAAAATATTGGGTAACTTTTATTAGTCATTATACCTTGTTGATTTAGTGGCACTTCAGACCTAACTTCAATGCTTTTTTCCAAGCTAGCTTCTCAGAAATCTTTTAACTAGTTTCTCATGAACCCTGCTTTTCAAAAGATCTTTGATTATTCAAAACCATTTGAACTTATTTTAGGATGCTTAAAGGAATCAATGCGGACAAGTACACATATTAAACAAATTGAGCTCTAAAAGCCTGTTTCAGAGTGAATTAGAGCTGTTTCCATAGCAAACACCGACCTTGAAATTACCTTGAAATCTAAGTAACTGGGAAACACTAGTTACACTAATAAAACAAGGGGTGACTTAAGCAAATGGCCAAAGCCTCCAAATGACTGTGAAATTTTTAGAATTTTTAGAATTACATGGCAGGATATGATCCATTAGATATGAGCTACAAAGTCATTTAAGAAGCTGTAAGACATAGACGGCAGGAAAATCAAATTGTACTGAAGGATAACTCAAAGCTTAGAATCACCTTCTGCAAGCGGTGATTTTTCTTTCTCTCTAACTCATTCCCTCTCTCTCAAATAAATAAATAATCTTTTAAAAAAAAACTGGTTGCTAATTTCCACTGGATCTTTTACCATTTCTGTAGCTTTTTACATTATTTAACAAGCACTCCCTCTTCTTTACAACTCTCTTGTCCCTCAGTTTCCCTTGTTAGCATCTTTTTCTTGTTATCATTCCTCAAGCAGCACTGTTGTTCTCTGTTGTAGTTCCTTCCTCCTCTGCAGCTTCTTTGAAACCTAGGGTTTAACTATCATAGAAACTAATGACAACCAATTCTATTATCTCCAAACTCCTCTATTCAGCCTACTAATTTTATCAAATTGTCTCACAATCACCCAAAATCCATTATCCTAAAATCCAAACTCGTTTACACACACACACACACACACACATTCTTAGATTCTCCTACTATTTTCTTTATTCTCAGTGAATGGAATCATATTCTAGCCAATTGCACAGTTAAGAAACCTGGTGGCTCTTCCTCTTCCTCCTACTATCCCTTCCCTCAACAATTCAGTCCTAGGGACACCTGGGTGCCTCAGCAGTTGAGGGTCTGCCTTTGGCTCAGGGTGTGATTCTAGAGTACAGGGATGGAGTCCCACATCGGTTTCCCCACACAGAGCCTGCTTCTCCCTCTGTGTCTCTGCCTCTCTCTCTCTCTCACTCTCTCTGTGTGTGTGCGTGTGTGTCTCATGCATAAATAAATAAAATCTTTAAAACAACAACAACAACAACAAACCAATTCAGTCCTAAAGCCATTTGGTGGAGCCAAGCAAATAAGGTACATATGTAGGGGGCAGGGTGGCAGTCCAGCACAGGGGGATCAATTTAAGCTGAGTGAGGAGAGCCCACTTGTATGTGGAGAACGGCAGAGAAAAGAAAGTGGACCAGTACTGGTGTCAAAGGCTGAATAAAAGGATGAAGAGTGATCCAAGATTGGAAAAGCCCAGCAGGTCAAAGGTAGAGCAGAATGAGAACATCTGTTTAGGTGAGGGTATCAAATGTGAACAGGGCAAGAAAGGTGTCCACAGGGCAGTATGGTACCAAAGTCCAAATGGGTTAAGGAGGATCCAGTGGCCACAATGGTGCCCTGCTCAGATATCCCTTCAATAGATCCTGCTACCTCATCTTGGAATCATTGCAACACTCACACCTGGCCATAATACCTCTATGCTTCTCCCAGCAAATGACTGGAGAAGTCATTCCCACCATGCTCCAACAACCAATTCTGATGGGGGACTACCTGCCCCTCATATCTTGTCTTGCTATCTGTTTCTCTAGAGACCTGCATTGACATAGAATGTACTGGCATAAAAAAACTCCTGGGAAAAAATTAAAAAGTGTGGAAGATACTAAAAAATGGCTAACTTCATTAAACAAAGGCTATTTCACTCCAGAATGTTGAAGAATGTTTTCTACTACACAAAGAAATCCAGTGGCTCAGCAGAAGAAAAGTTCTCAAGACGAGTCCTTTTAAGACAACAGAAGGCTAGATTTTGTTGAATACTTTGAAGATGAAGAATAGCTGCAGAAACTAGCCAATGTAGCACTTCCTCTTCAATCTCTGTAAGATATGAAGAAAATACTTTGACTTTAAGGGACAAGTTTCTTGAATTTAAACAGAAAATGCACCTTTGGAAAACACCATATTACAAAAAGAGATTGTGAAACACTTCCAATGCTGCTTAGGCTTAACTAAAGAAGGATATCATCAAGTCTCAAGTCCTATTGGAAACCACCTGGAGAAGCTACAGAACAAAAGTGAACTGATTTTCTTCCTGTTCAAAATAAATGATCACTGGGCAGAACTCTTTTTCTGAATCTTCTGATTGTGAGAATTTGCCTTGAGAAAAAGAAAGAGCTGCAGTCTTATACAACATGATTTTACTGATCTGCCCAGACAAGTACTGGGTTTCTACGAAGAAAAGAATATCCTGCTATTCATCAGAAACCAATGAACGTTATGCTGCAGTTCTCAACTTCTCACACATTCAAAAAACGTTTTTCTTATTAATGAACATCAAGAGTAAGCTAAGAAACAGTCTCATTTCAGCTGAAAAGGAAATTTGTGTCTGCTTATCTCGCGTTTGACCCTCAATGGACATTTGTGATACATAAAACAAGTACATGAGGTAAATACAATTTTTATATTAAAGAAGTAATAATTTTTGGCTTTCAAAAAACCACATTTTATGTATACATGAGCCTAATGAAAGAAGTACTTTTTTTTTTTAAGATTTTATTTATTCATGAGAGAGAGAGAGAGGTACAGACACAGGCAGAGGGAGAAGCAGGCTCCATGCAGGGAGCCCAATGTGGGACTCGATCCCAGGTCTCCAGGATCATGCCCTGGGCTGAAGGCGGCGCTGAACTGCTGAGCCACCCGGGCTGCCCAAGAAGTACTTTTCTAACTGGTAAGACTACATTCAAATGTGATCATATCACTAAGAAATTATTTTTTCTAAGTCTTGTGTAAAAGATTGTCTAGGCAATATTTTTATTCATATTGCTTTAGTTTATGGTTTTAGAAGCTTTACTATTCAACACTGTCAAAAAATTTCATGTTGTAAATAATATTAAAATCAACTTACAACCCTTATTTAAATTAAATCTGCTGAGCCTACATTAAGAATAATTAAGTCCCATTTTTGGTTTAAGGTAGTTATGTGAAATTTATCACATTTTATATGAGTTTGCAAAATTTATGAAAAGATAAAAGTGATTTATCCCAAGGAAAGTAAGCTAAGCTTAATTACCAGGGGGTTGTATTTTCCCCCAAGAAAAGTTAGCTAAAATATCATTTTTAGATGCAAATATGAAAAGAAAACTACTTTTGCACATACCATATCTCATGGATCTCATACAGAAGATCGGATAAGGCCTACCTATTTGAATAAGGTAAAAAAAAAAAAAAAAAAAAAACAGAGCAGTAAAGGAAAAAAAAAAAAAAAACTAGAATCTCCTCTACCTGTTCTACTAACTTATATTAGGACAGATACAGTTTGTGGAAAAAGGAACCCACAAAAAAAAGAGGACTAATGGATTAGCCAATATAAACAGATCCACAGAAAAAGAACATTCTCTGCTCAAAAGAATACTACAATCACCAATAAAGTATTATATCTACAACTTACTGATCAAGCTGAGGTACTGTGTGCAGGAAATACAATTTTTATGTGAATCCCAAGATAAGATGATTTTAAGTGTTTCCTCAATGTAAAAAGATTGAGAAAGGCTGAAGTGAACATCAGTAATGAGATGAATTGATATTATGTTTACCTAATAAGAAGTAATGAGAGTAACACAGTATAATTCTTTGAAATTCTTGCCAATGATGCATAACCTGAATCCACTAATGAGGAAGCACTAGAAAAACCCAAATTAAGGGTCCTTGTTCAAAATGCCTGCAGTATAATCTTCAAAAGTTTAACAGGAATGAAAGAAAAGATCAAGGCACTGTTCTAGGTAAAGGATAACAAATGCAGTCCATGATTTTGAATGGAATCTTTTTATTATGTTAGGTATTATTTGAACAACTAGTGAAACTCAAATGGGGTCTGAGGAATAGAAAACCTAATTTATTAATGCCAATATCCTGATTTTCATGGTTTTATTGTGATTATGCTGGAGAATGTCCTCATTTATAAGAAATGCATACTCAACTATTGTCAACTAATCTTCGCAAAAACAGGAAAGAATATCCAATGCAAAAAAGTCTCATCAACAAATAGTGTTACAAAAAAAAAAAAAAAACAAAAACAAATGGTGTTAGGAGAATTGGACAACCACATGCAGAAGAATGGAACTGGACCATTTCCTCATACCATACACAAAACTAGACTCAAAATGGATGAAAAGGTCAGTTGGTCCAGGCGTGGGGGCCTGAGCTGTCCTCCCGGTTCCCTCCCGCTCCCGGCACCTCCGAAGGCAGACCATTCATCAAGGATTTTGTATCCAAGGCCCAAAAGCTTGTTACCCGAGATGATGAATGCCGACATGGATGCAGTTGATGCTGAAAATCAGGTGGAACTGGAGGAAAAAACACGACTTATTAACCAAGTGTTAGAACTGCAACACACACTTGAAGACCTCTCCGCAAGAGTAGATGTGGTTAAGGAAGAAAATCTGAAGCTAAAATCCGAAAACCTAGTTCTTGGACAACATATAGAAAACCTCATGTCTGCTTCTAGTGTTTTTCAAACAACTGACACAAAAAGCAAAAGAAAGTAAGGGATTGACATCCCTTCTATTTCATGGAATTGCTGCTGATCTTTTTTTCTTTAAAACTTGGATAGATTTAAAAAGTTATAGTACTTTTGTTTGTGGCTTAATTGAATATTTATGAAGATAATGTCAGATATAGGCAAAATTAAGAGCATAACGGAAGACTTCCATGAGTTTGTGTATATGTTAGTCTATAAAAATGTGCAAATGTATTATAGACTTTATAATTAGAAATGCATATATTTATGAAACTTGAAGATAAATGTTTTATCAAATTTGATTAATAGGTTTAGTTAGCACTATCTTTTATTATAAGCACAGTAAGAGATACAAGAACCACCGTGTTGTGAAAAGTGACCAAAATCATGTACTGAACGCACAGCTTTATGTACCCTGCCCACCATGTTGTGCCTCTTCTCCATTTGCTTCTTCCTTCTCATTTCCCTTCCTCTAAGGAAAAAATTGGTTTCACATTTGTAAAGGTAATAGTTAATCATCTGTGAGAGTAACCTGAGCTTGAATTGTTGAAACTTATCTAAAATAAGATACTTTCTCAGTTAGGGTTTGTCATAGTAATAAGCTAGGATTGTTGATTTTTCTTTCATCAGTTGAAAACAGAGGCTATAAGTATGAAGACTTTTCTTTGCAACTGAATTATCAAATTGGGAAGGTTTGGTTAAAAACTTAACTTTTGCACAAAATAACCCCACTTGGTATCTGAAAAAATGAGCTCTGGTTATACGTTTGGAATAGAGTATTTTGAGAAAAACATTAATAGGATGGGAAGATACTTGGCAAACAGTAGTAACCAACTCCAAATGTTTTTACTCCAGATTTGTGTGATCTCTGGCACAGACCAGGTATTTTGGGTGATACACACACACACACACACAACACACACACACACACACACACACACACAAGAAGGTAGATTAAATGTAAATAACCTTATGTCAACCACATATAGAAGAGAACAGTTACAGAGTTTAGTCTTAACATTTATTTGTAGCACCCAGCAGATCAACTTTTGCAAAATCCCTTTAGAAGAGTGTTTTGGTATCAGAATCATGAATAATAAAAGGGAGTTTTACATGTATACTAATTGATATTTTCTCAGTATTTTAATCTCACTACTTATCCCAGAATTTTCTGTAAACCTAACTGCTTGGTTTGCAGAGTTTTAGTCACCCTTTGGCAGTTTGTAAGAATTTAGTTTGTAGATTCCATTTGGTAAGAAATTAGTATCGGAAGTAATGTTAAAATATTAACTAGGAAAAGACGTCCACTAATATAGTTTTGGTTGTTAGATTTGGGCTACTTTTAATCATGGAATAATATGTTTGTATTGGTGTAAGATTCAATGAATGACTTTAGCTGTAGGAATATAATAGTTATACTGCAAATATTTTGCATCCCTTTTGTGACCTAATTTACAAACATTTAAAATTGTGTTGCAATTTTGCTTTGCTGTTTAATAAAAAGCTGTTTCAGAAAAAAAAAAAATGGATGAAAGACCTAAATGTGAAATAGGAATCCATCAAAATCCTAGAGGAGAATACAGGCAGCAACTTTTGGGACCTTGGCCACAGCAACTTTTTACTAGACACACCTCTAAAGGCAAGAAAAACAAAGGCAAAAATGAACTATTGAGACTTCATGAAGATGAAAAGCTTTTGCACAGCAAAGGAAACAGTCAACAAAACCAAAAGACAACCTACAGAATGGGAGAAGATATTTGTAAATGACATATCAGATAATGGGCTAGTAGTATCCAACATCTATAAAGAACTTTATCAAACCCAACACCCAAAGAAGAAATAATCCAGTCAAGAAATGAGAAGAAATAAACAGACATTTCTCCAAAGAAGACATATAAATGGCCAACACATGAAAAACTGTTCAACATCACTCGGTATCAAGGAAATACAAATCAAAACCACAATGACATACCAACTCACACCAGTCAGAATAACTACAATTAACAAATCAGGAAACAACAGATGCAGTGAGGATGTGGAGAAAGGGGAACACCCCCATGCAGTCTTGGTGGAAATGCAATATGCTACAGCCACTCTGAAAAACAGTGTGGAGGTTCCTCAAAGAGTTGAAAATAGAGTTACTCTATGACCCAGCAATTGCACTACTAGGTATTCACCCCAAAGATACAAATGTAGTGATCTGAACAGGCACCTGAACCCCAATATTTATAGCAGCAATGTCCACAATAGCCAAACTATGGAAAGAACCCAGATGTCCACTGACAGATGTATGGGTAAGGAAAATGTAGTGTGTATGTTATGTATGTGTGAATGCGCACGCACGCACACACACACACAATGGAATACTACGTAGTCATTAAAAATGAAATCTTGCCATTTGCAACAAAGTGGATGGAACTAGTAAGTAAAATGAGTCAATCAGAGAAAGACAATTATATTATCTCACTCATGTTAAATTTAAAAAACAAAACAGAGGATCATGGGGAAAGAGAAAAAAATAAAACAAGACGAAATCAGATAGTGAGACAAACCTTAAAGACTTAATCGAAAAAAAATTAAAAAAAAAAGACTCTTAATCGTAAAAATCAAACTGAGGGTTGCTGGAGGGGAGGAGGGTAGGAGGACGGAGTAACTGGGGGATGGGCATTAAGGAGGGCATGTGATGCAATGAGAACTGGGTATTACATAAGACTGATGAATCACTGACCTCTAACCTCTGAAACTAATAATATATGTTATTAATTGAATTTAAATAAAAAATTTTTAAAAAGAAAATCAAAATGAAGAGAAAACACATTTACAGTACTGTCCTGTATTTATCAATGAAAACCCACCTATAAGTGGACCCATGCATTTCAAACCTGTATCATTCTAAAATCACCTGTATATGGAAAACACTCCCAATGTTCTGGGACACTGCAAGTGCTCAGTAAAAAAGTGCCTAATGTTATTATTTCCCTCCTCAAGTTGCATGTTGAACCTACTATTTAATAGGCATTCTGCTGGCATGAGTCTTTTCCCCAGATTGTAGTAACATAGGTCAGTGCATTGATAGGAAGCTTGCAGGCCATCTAGCAGGTAGGACTGGAGATTCAATGGGGAAAACAGTAAATCAGTAAGTAGCCTGAGGAAGCACATCAACCAGGAAAATTGCTGTTCAATTAATTTTTCTTTTATTTTGTAAAATACCTGGTGAGATCTTTTGCAAGTCATTTTAATATTTCATAATAAATGTACTTCCCCTGGTTTGTGTATTTTATTTCCCCATCAAAATATGGGTGTTTGTATTTACTCCAGTCATACCTTATTTAAATGGCATTTTCAAGTCAGCTTATCAAAAATTGTGGGCTTCCATGTCTTACCCAATTAACCAGTTGGCAGAATTAGTTTTTTGCTCCAATGGTTAAAGCTTTTGGTTATGGCTTTGTCAACATGTTGTCTTTTCTAAAAAGTACCACAATAAACTGAAAGGTTAAAAAAAAAAAAAAAGGAAAAGAAAAAAAAGGAAAAAAGAAAAAGAAATGCATGCTCAAGAGTTTAGGGGTGATGGTGCATCCTGTTGACAAGTTATCAAATGGTTCTGGGGCTAAGTAAGTTCTTAATAGTGTACTTGGGACTTTTTTGAAAGTTTAAAAAAAGGTGGTAAAGAGGGAAAAATCTGGACAACATTCTGGTTCCCACTTCTGCTACAAATTACCTTTGCTTTGTCCTGATAATTTTGTCTCCCACTCACATCATCACTAAGGCCCAAGTGTAACTCTTCAATAGATCTACAATCCATTCCCCTTCTCTAGTGCTGTTTAATAAGCAGATACTATGTGCCTCTTCCTCCAAACTATTTGAATCACATCCCTAGTGATCTTCACATCTTCTGTGTGCCATGCCTCTCACCTACCCTCTATACTGCTGCCAGAACATGAAATGTCAACACCTAAGTGGCAGTTTCCAAACATTTTACATGCTGAAGCCCTTGCTCAAATGAAGGCAAGATATTAAGTAAAGAAAGAGCTTGTGAGAGACAACTGGAGAAAGGGAGAGAATAGTGTACACAGAAAGAATGGGCAACCAAGTGATTCTGCAAAACTTTTTAAAGTACTATTCTATAGAATAAAATCTGAACTCCTATGCACAGTACACAAGATGTTCCTAATCTGGTCCCACCTCTAACCATCCTAATGCAAACTTGTTTGTCTTAAACTGGATATTACCCAACAATATTGATCTACTTGTATTAATACACTATATGTTCTTATGTGTCTATATCTTTGTAAAAGATGTCTTCCTTCTCTCTGACACATTTCTTTGCCCACCCTTTACTAACCCTATCTGGCAATGTAAGTCACCTTCCTTCATTCTTCTATTCTCTGTCACAGAACTTGCTGAAATTGGCAAGCACAGGTCTTAAATATAAGGACCTCCCCTCTTCTACTTGTTTAAAAAAAAAAAGATAGTGGTAAAACATTTAGGGAAAATGTTGGGACCGTGGACTTCTAATAAAAGAAATGCCGTGGGGATCCCTGGGTGGCTCAGCGGTTTAGCGCCTGACTTTGGCCCAGGGAGCGATCCTGGAGTCCCAGGATCAAGTCCCACGTTGGGCTCCAGCATGGAGCCTGCTTCTCCCTCCTCCTGTGTCTCTGCCAACCCCCCCCCATGTCTATCATAAATAAATTAATTAATTTAAAAAAAAAAGAAAAGAAATGCCGTAACTATCAGGTTCATAGTAAGGGGTAAGCTTGAGCATTAGAGGGCTGACATGTGAGTTTCTTTGTAAATGTATATTATAAAAAGTAGAAGGCTAGAAAAGTGAACATGTTTGCTATTTCAATTGTCTCACCTTCCAATTCCATGAAGAAGATAGGAACTACTTTTGCGTTTTTTCTCTTTGGATGTTCCGAAAACACATATCAAGTATATATTATAATGCTATGCTTTAAAACGCAGAGATATACCAACAATTATACACAGACAATATATATAGGCTTTCTTCACATTTAGGAGGTGATACTCAACTGAACATATAACTGTATTACAGTCCATATAATC